GTGAGGGTAGATTTGGATACTGTGAAAAGAAAGTGTATAGAGAACACGTGGTTGCTGTAAAATACTATAGGAACTCAACAATTAATGCTGTTCACAACGAAGCAATAAATATAAATGATTTTGACCATCCCGGTAAGCACTGTTACATGCACTTATATATTGGAATTAAATTGTTACGTTGTGCCAATAAATAACACAGGAGTGGATGTATTCATTTAGGGCATACGCGCGGTATTACTAAATATAGATAAATATTATATAACAAGTATAACGATCAAGGATTTTAGTACTAAAGTAGTATTAGGACACAAATTAGAGCGGATTTCGTATGACTGTGCAACAGCACGATTCACAACACGGGCACGGTACAGGCACGAAACCTCGCCTTGTAGGGTTCGTCCGGAATAAAAATGAAGATTTAACAATACATCGCCGCTACGGCACGGTACGGTCACAGCGCGAATGTATCGTGTTTTTTGAAGTAACGAAATCCGCTCTGGGACATGATTCGTGCGACATAACAGAAAGGTCAAATTTGCAGATGATGACAAGTAAATGTCAAACGTTTCACGCACGCATCATGTGCTAATGCGTCTCCTAATACAAACCACGACAATTTGAAAATGCTCACATATTATTCGTTGGGAATATTCTCCCTTTTCGGCTCTACTTACTCTCTATTTGTTGCGGTCCGTGCTCTGTCCGCTTAGTCTAGGTACTGAAATTTTGTTTCCGAAGCTATGAATTTTCCAGATGGCACTGATTTATATCATCAAATTGACGTGTACTCTTTTCAACGGGATGATACAAACTATTGTTGTTGTTAATAWATTATCATTATCATTAGATAAAAAAACAGAAAGAAATTTTCCAAACCACTTTTCTGATAGKTTTTAATCAATTTATCGATTAACATATACGATTTTAATTTAAAGCGTGACCCAGACAAAGTTTWAAAAAAATCAGTTTTGTAGAATCATCATCATCATCATCCTGCGGCCTCGGCCGAGATRTCTCGTAGAATATTCCACTTGCTGACACTTGTTTTTTTGACACTTGTTTTTTGTCTGTGTTTTTTTAACATGATTGTCATTTTGAGCCATGTTTTCGATGTCTATTTTTTCATAAAAATTTAAACGTAATAACCCAT